AGAGCAATGATTCTCAAAATTTATTATACATAAGAATCACCCAGGGATCTTGTTAAAATGTAGATTCGGGTTCAGTATATCTAGGGCAGAAATGCAAATTCTCAGCAGGGGTTTGAACCGGAATGAACCAGTTTGAAGCCCCAGAGGGAACAGGAGCCCTTCTGTGTCCAGCTCTCTTCTTCTGAGGTGAGTCCTTGAGAGCCTTTGGAGGAGAGAAGAGGAGGGTTCAGGCAGATGGACCCAGTTTTGTCAGAGCCAGAGAGGAGCTGGGCCCTGGACAGGCTGCTGCCCAAGTCCTGAGGCCAGGCCCCCAGGCCACAACTCCAGGTCCCTCCACCCAGCATTGACCAGGGACCAAGTGCCATGGCATGCTCAAGGCTGGTCCAGATTCACACCAGCCCTTGTCTAGACCTTGTCCCACCCCTGCCCACTGCCCAGGCCCATTGCTGCCAAAAGTGTGGCTTATTCCGGACCCCAGGGAGGGTCTGAGCGCTGGCAGCAGCCCCAGGGCTCAGACTGGGCCCAGCCCCCATCGTACAGACAGGGCCAAAGTGACCTCTACCCTCACCCTGCCCCAAGGAGGTGAGCTCACTAGGACCTTTTTATCTGTGGCAGGTATCCTGGAGGGCTGTGTCCTGGGGCCTTGGGCTGCAGTTTGCACTTGGACTCTTTGTCATCAGAACGGAACCAGGATTCATTGCATTCCAGTGGCTGGGTGAACAGATCCAGGTGTGTCCATGGGGGCCCTGCTGGCCAGGGCATCTTGGGCTGTCAGGAGGAGAAGCCACTCAGTTGCAGGGGAGGTGGATGGCCACAGAGAGGAATTGGGACAAGGAGGATGGGTATACTGCAGCCCAGACGGGGCAGGCAGCAGCGGGCTGGGCAGTGTAGCTGCTACTTCCCTCAGGCCTGCTACCACCAACCCTATGACCTGTCCTTTCAGAAGCTGGGGTCTGATAATAAAGAGAATCCTACAGGAAGGGTCTTAAGGAATCTTTACACTATTGCATGTGGCCCTCAGGGGTAGTTAGTGATGTGGAACTTATAATAGTTAGAAGTGCCACTAGAAAATCACAAAATGATTTACTTTTTAAAACTTAAATCTGAAGGACACAGGTTAATACTACACTAACCTTCCTGTTAAAAAAAAAAACAAACCTAAACCCATTGCCATCAAGTCAATTCTGACTCATAGCAACCCTGTAGGACAGAGTAGAACCTGCCCCATAGGGTTTCCAAGGCTGTGGTCTTTATGGGAGCAGTCTGCCACATCTTTCTCTCACAGAGAGGCTGTTTGGTTGGAACCGCCCACCTTTCGGTTAGCAGCTGAGCTATTAACCACTGCGCCACCAGGGCTCTTTCACCTCCCTCTTACCACCTTGCATTTCCATGTCCTCTGGAATTGAAGGATGTGGGGTGGAACAGGGGAATCCTCATGTCCGGGGTCTGTGCACACCTGCTGGCCATGCCAAGG